GGCTATCAAACTAAAAGTGAATACGCGGAACAACCAACAATGGCTATCAAACTAAAAGGGAATACACAGAACAACCAAATATGGCTATCAAACTATGGCTATCAAACTAAAAGGGAATACAAGGGACAACCAAAAATGGCTTTAAAACTATGGCTATCAAACTAAAAGGGAATACACAGAACAACCAAAAATGGCTAATATGAATAAGAAGATGTGGTATGAGTGCCAATGAGACAACTCTCCATCCAAGTCAAAATATATAAAAAGTAAACAATTACAGGTCAAAGTACGGCCTTCAACACTGCCAGGTTACATTGCTTGGAAAGTTGCAACCTTAGTTATATTAATTCAATGACTTTGAAACGTTTTGCCTGAGTACTGAGGTACTTCTTTAAACTGCTGGATTTTAGTCCAAATTATCACAAGTACCAGTTTTGAAACATTATTCATTTTAAAAAAAGGGTAATCATTTTGAAATACCCAATTGATTTTTAATTGCATCTAAGTTTCCAACTATGAATACAATGGCAATTGTTGTAATTTCATACAGGTTTTGTTTATGTTAATGAGGGTTTTTAGATAATTGAAACATTTTCCTTTTTTCACTTGCTGATACATTTACATTCAATATAATTGTCAATATAAATATACTGGCCAAGACATAAAGATTACATGTATTAGGTTTCTACACTACCTCACATGACATTGACTTGCTATCATTTCATTCATACAAGTTGCACTTGTTTTAGTAGACTTTGAAGGAATGAAAAAGTAAATCTTTCCAAAGGCAGGTTAGATATGTTAATTTAAAAATAAATTTCAGGGCTCATACAATAATGTTAATCTTTGTGCATGAAAATTGAAAAACAGTTTGCATGATTAGCAACTGGATGCCCAACCTTTAACAATACCACATGGCCTGTATGAAATAAGCTGAAGATAAATAAGGAGATACGGTATAATTGCCAAAGAGACAACTATTCGCCAAAAGATGAAAGGACAAGAATGTAACAACTACGCCCCATTGTACTACCTTAAACAATGTGTAAAAGCCATACCAAATAGTCAGCTATAAAAGGCCCTGAATTACAAAATGTGAAATAATACATAATAGAAAACTAACAGCCTTACTTAGCTAGTATACTCTCTTTATAAACATTATGTCTGTGGGAAAAAAGTAAATCATAATGACTGATAATAAATATTCATGCGGCTCTCCCTTTGGAGTAACTGACAGACACTTTGAAGTCAGAGTTAAACCACCCTTCCTGGTCAGTATGACCAGGAGATAGACTGAGTAAGGAATTAACCATTCAAATACTTTATTCAGTATTAAAATCAATACCAGTAGTTTAGTTGGGTTTTTAGGAGCAAGATTGAGGGATCATTGTATATTGGGAATTTTTATATATGTAACGGAGGTCTTTTTACCAAAAAATTTTACGAGAAAAAAAAGTAAGTCATAAAGACATTTCAGTATAATGATTAATTTTAGTCAAAAGATATTTCGTGAAAAGAGCCCTAGAACATGAATATCATCAGAGGACTTTTACATATTTGTCTTAAGAAAAAAGAAAATCAAGACTCTTATAATGGATGTAAATTTTCAACTTTTGACAGTTGACATGCATTTTTCTAATAAGCGAAAACTGCATTATGAACCAGACATATACATTTAAAGAAACCCAATTTTTTTGTTTAGTTTTTTTTACAAGTAGTTGACATTTTTTCCCAATCTCATAAATGTGAAAAGCAAAATGTCTCAAAGCTTATAAATAGTTTTTATATGCCTGTTTACGGGATGTATTATGGTATATTGTTGTCCGTCCGTCCATCGTCAACATGTCAGTCGATAACTCAAAACTTGTTAACCAGTTTGCATGAAACTTTAGTGAATTGCTTATATCTATTGACGATTTTTATAATTTTTAGATTTTACGTTTCCGAGTTGTGGAGTTTTATTCATTAAAATAGGGGTGATTTTCCAGTTTTCAGACAATAAATCTAAAGTGTTTTGAGCAGTTTTCATGAAACTTTGGTGAATTGTTTATGTCTATTGATGTTATCTCCCTTTTCGATTTACGCTCATGGGGCAGCTCTTTATTTTAAATTTTGTAATCACAATATCATTTGCTCTGGTTATACAACATCATGGCTTTTTTATGTGCCAATTTTTCTGAAGACTTTATTGTGCAATTATCAGTTATCCCATTTGAGGTTTGGGAAGCAGGTTTGTCTTTCTTGCAACAATGTTGCTCAAGGCAAGACAAAGGGATTGTTTTGTTGTTGTATTGTGTTGTTTCTTTGTTTTGTTGCTGTATTGTTTAATTGGTTTGCTGTTGTCTTATTTCTTTATTTTATTGCTGTATTTGTATTTTGCTCTGTTGCTTTATTGTTGTGCTGAATCTATGTTTTGTTGCTGTGTTGTTTCTTTGTTTTATTGCTGTGGTCGTTCTTTGTTTTGTTGTTGTTGTGTTGTATCTTTGTCTTATTGCTGTGTTGTATTTTTGTTTTGTTGCTGTGTGGTTTCTTTGTTTTGTTGATGATGTGTTGTGTTTTTGTTTGTTTGCTGTGTAGTTACTTTGTTTTGAGTTGGTATTGTTTCTTTGCTTTGTAGCTATGTTTTATCCTTGTGTTGATGATGAGTTGTATTTTTGTTTTTGTGCTATGTTGAAACTTTGTTTTGTTGCTGTTATTTTAGTTTCTTTTTATTGTGGCTGTGTTGCTGTGGTTCTTTGTTATTGTGTTTCGTTATTTGTTGATGTGTGTCTCTGTGATGTTGATGTGTTTTTTACGGTTTTATTGATGTGTAAAAACCCATACCGTATAGTCGACTATAAAAGGCCCCGACATGAAAAATATGAAATAATTCAATTGAGAAAACTAACGGCCTAATTTATAACAAAAGAATGTGGCGGGGTTAAACATGTTTGTGAGCGCTCAACCCTCTCCCTAGCCTGGGACAGTGGTGTAACAGCACAACATAAGAACAAACTATAAAAATCAGTTGAAAAAGGCTTAACTCATCAGATTGACACAAAGCAGAAAAACATCAAACAAAAACACAGACCGGACGTGGCAGGGTACTTATCCATCCCTCATCCCTAACAACAAACAAAGACACAAAGTACAGATCTGAGAGTACTCGCAGTTACTGAAAGATAGTTCAAAGCCAATAACATCTAAAAAAAAAATCATGTATCTAAGACTAAAATGTCAATCAGTACACATCCAATGGATTTACTGTAAAGATGTCATTAGCAGTCAGAGAAAAACATGACCTTGTGCAATGTCAAAATAAAGGTATCGACAGATTGTAGTACCATTAAAGTGCATATGTGTATAACAATACTATTTAGTATGGTTTAAATTTACTGATAACAAAATCAATATTTATACCAATAAAAACAATATGCAAAAATCGAATTACAGTGATGAATTGGTAGCCTTTTAGAATAAGTTTATTTAAACAATCGATAAGTTTATCGGAATCGTATATTAATTTTCGAGAACGGTAAACAATTTCACCATAAAATTTAAGATGTGCTATTTTGTCTGAAATAAGTTTTTTACAGGTACAGCCAAACTTGCCAACCAAATCTTTGTATTTATGGAAGAATTTAGTAAAGGTTTTGTTGCTGTATTGAATCTTTGTTTTGTTGGTGTTTTCTTTTTTTTGTGTGTGTGTTTTTGTTAGTTGATGTGTCTCATTGTTTGTTGCTGTGTTGTTTCATTGACAGCTGCTTCTTTGTTTGTTAGTGTCTTTGCTGGTGTCTTTGTTATGTTGCTGTGGTGTTTATTTGTTTGGCTGCTGTTTCTTTGTTTTGTTGTCGTATGTTATATTTGCTTCGTTTTTATTGTTGTTATGTTGTTTATGGTTGTTGCCGTTTTTTCTGTTCTGTTGATATGATGTGGCTGTGATATATTGCAGTAATGGTTTGTTTTTGTTGCTGTGTTGTTACTTTTTTCTATTGTTGTATTATTTCTTTTAAGCTGTTGTGTTGTACCTGTTTTATTGCTGTATTTGTTGTTATGTTGTTGTGTGTTATCTTTGTTTTGTTGTTGTGTTATATCTTTGTTATGTTATGGGTTGTTTCTGTTTTGTTGCTGTGTCGTTTCTTTGATATATTTGTGTGTTGAATGTTTGCTTTGTTCGTGAGTTGAGACTTTGCTTTTTTGAGTGTTATTACTTGACTACTTTATTTGTATTGCTAATTTGTAAATCTTTGCTTTGACGCTGTGTCGTTTATTAGCTTTGTTGTTTTTCGTTTCTTCTCTGTTCGAATATTTCTTTGAAATGTTATTTATTTGCAATTTTTTGTTGTTTTATATTTTTTTAATTTTTACACCTTCAAGAGATTGATTGGAATCATGTTATAGCTATCTAAATCTTTGCCAGGAACTATTTACTCGTGATCTGATGAAGTATAAATCCAAAAAATATTTTTAAAATGTTCGGAAAACAACAGTTTACAATCGATTTTTTTCTTCAAGTACTGGCATGTATATCGTGGTGTCCATTGATATAAAGTTTAACACACATACATGAAATACAATACATGAAATAGCTTAAAACTAATTTATGATAGGATGTGTCTAATTGTTTATTCTTATTCCCGAAATGGTGCCTAGGTCTAGTTTGAAATTGTGTCAAAATAGAATACTAGTATTTAAGGGTACTGGTTTTGTCTGTTTACAACTATTTGCTCATTTCTAAAGATTTAATTGAAACTCCGTATATCAAATACACAATATGTTGAACAGATATAGGATGCATGTTATTCCATTTATGTTTTCTATTTTCTATTTCCTGTCATAAAAATACAAGGAAGAAAAATCATCTCCTGCAGTGCTACATGTCGTGCTTTTCAGTTATTTCTAGGAAGAAAATTGTGCTACCTTCATCAATTATTTAAATCGATATAACTTCTAAGAGATTTAATTACTTTAATTTATGTGGACTTTCAAACTAATTAATATCAATAAATGAATGAAGAGCACATCGATCCGTTACATCATAACTATATGAACACACATTTTAAAATTGACAGAATTTTCATTTGATGCAAATTTTTAAATCTGACTCTTTGCTATTTTTCTTTTTTTTTCATTTCTATTGACCACACGGAGTTCTATGACTACTGCGGAATATGTACGTTAAGGTAAACATTTCAAGCATTTATTTCTACAGTTGTGTTTTATTATACTGTATTGTCTATTAGGATAGTCTTGAGGACGATCGAAATGTAAAAACTTCTTAGCAACGTTAATCAGTATGCAAAACGTCGTAACAATAAACCATAATGACGTTACATCGGAGGCATAGTTGCAGAAATGTAAAGGAAAATATTGTATTTCGTTGTATTTGAGCTCATAAAATGAAAATGGTCACTTGAGAGGAACTTATGGGAAAAAGAATATGTCAGTAAGGGATTCTGCCACCCCCCGAGAATTCCTGAGATTGGCAGATACCTTGGTTGACAAAGGATATCGTCTTGGACCGAAAATAGGAGAAGGAACATATGCGAAAGTTCGTGTTTGTGAAAGAAATACAGATGGTAAAATTATGGCGGTAAAGATTGTCAACTTAAAGGGAGCATCTACGGATTATATAAACAAGTTCTTGCCTAGAGAACTCAGCGTAATACAGAGAATGAATCACAAGAATATAATACATACGCATGAAGTCATAAGGAATGACGATTTATTGTTTATGGTGACTGATTATGCTGAACGCGGGGATCTTTTATGTCATATCCGAGATCATGGCCCTATTCCTGATGACGAAGCAAAGAGAATGTTTACACAAATTGTTGGGGCAGTGCTATATTTACACTGTGATATGAATATTGCTCACCGAGATCTTAAGTGTGAAAATATTCTGATAATGAGGGACAGATCTGTTGTTCTCAGTGACTTTGGATTTGCCCGACCTTTGGATCAAAGTGATCCGCTGAAAGGAAAATACCTTAGTAAGACATTTTGTGGAAGTCCTTCATACTGTTCTCCAGAGGTTTTACGTGGGGTTCCATATGATCCAAAAATGAATGATATTTGGAGTCTTGGTGTTCTTTTGTATGTAATGGTTACCTCTGCCATGCCTTTTGATGATAGTAATGTGAGATTGATGGTCAATAAACAAGTGTGTGGAGAAATCAAATTTCCTCCGCGATTGGAAAGCAGGATTCATCCTGACTGCAAACGTCTTATATCACAGTTGATAGAACCTCATGCATGTAAAAGACCGACTGTGGATTGTATATTGAAGTCAGAGTGGATTTTATCTAATTGTAAATAGATTACGAATATTTAACCAGTTTCATAGTTTATTTATAAAAGGAGCGAATATTTTAACCTCCAGTTTTTAAATCATTTCGCATATTAGGATGAGAACTTCGATTCTCAAAAAATGATTTAACTTTAGTCGGAAGCTTGGGATGTATAAATGCGTATTAAATATGCAGCACAAGAATTGTATTTGTCTGTATTTGTTGTTCAAATGTTATCAAGAAAAATTATCATGTCCTTTTTGTTAGTTTTCAATGTATATTTAATTGTTTATTAAATGAAATATTTTCTGTTAAAATATGAGATTTGTCTTGACAAACAATGTTGCAGACTTATGACTTAAAAATTCTTTCCGAGGACACAATGTCATATCTTTACCAGAGACTGTTGATCTTTATACAATTTTTCAAAATTTTCATGTTGCGTGTTGTGGTTAATCATTCTGTGTCCGGTATACTCATTTGTGTATTGTGTGATTATTGTCGCAGCCTGGGAAGCGAGACCTAGCGATTCTAAATTCCACTCCTAAATTCCGTCGCCGTCGACGTTGTCGTCGAAAGTACAACCATAAAGTTGTGATATTTTGAATTGAAAAAACTTAACTAAACTTGTGTAAAATGAATTCAGGGAAATTGGTATTACTACTTATTTGCCATCATCTTTAGTAAATTTGACCATATTTTAATGTTTTGCAAATGTTCGTATTTTCATCATTTGCGGGGATAATTCTACGTTGTCCCTACTTTATATCAATTATGTTGTTTAATTTCTGTTCATTCATCTTTTCGAGAAGCAATTTGATAAATGCTTTTCACTTTTAAATAATAATGCAATTTACACATCGTTTTTATGACTGTTTTTACGTGTTATATGTTTAAATTCCTTCATTAAGACAAATTAAAAGGTACACAATTTGTACATTATAAAAAAAGGGGATGTGGTATGATTGCCAATAAGACAACTATCACAAAAGTTCAAATGAAGTGGAAGTAAGCAATTAAAGGCAACCGTACGGCCTTCAACAATGAGAAAAAAACCCGGCATACCGTATGGTCGGCCCCGACATGAAAAATATGAAACAATTCAATTGAGGAAACTAACGGCCTAATTTATAACAAAACAGTTTACGAAAAGCAAATATGACAGACATAAACCAACGACAACCACTGTACTACAGGCTCCTGACTTGGGACAGGCACATACAAAATGTGGCGGGGTTAAACATGTTTGTGAGCGCTCAACCCTCCCCTAACCTGGGACATGAACATTTAATACGAATAAATCGAGAATATCGTACGTATATGTAGAATAATCAAGACGACCTAAACATATAAGATTTTTTTAATGGATTAAAGATGGTTGTCCTTTTATGCTTTGTATAAAACTGAACAAAGCTTCAAATGATTGTTTTATTTACAAAGATTGACGAAAGTTTCCATGACGAGGAGTAGAGTGGTAGATTTCTTCAAATGCTTAGGATTATTAATTTAGAAATGACTCTAAAAAGCTTCTATTTGAAGCTAATATTTTGCGGATATTCCCATCAAAATACAGCAAAGAAAATACAATTCTATGACAGGCTTTTAATGCACTTTTCTTGGTAACAGTTGAAAGTAAGACAACATAAAAATCTAGACAGTTTTACAGATAATTTCAAAACCTATACAATTATGGTTTCAATATAACTTTTAATAAATAAATTAGGTATTAATTTTTTCACCATCACAAGAAAAGTTACTATTTCGTTGTCAAGTTATCCCACTTTCGAAGTGCATTTAATATTGTTATTGAAACAAGAAACCGACAATATAATACTATACCTCTCATAAATGGCAATGAAGTCGACTTGAACAATATACTTAAGGAATATAAACTTGACTGTGAATCCCTTACCATGGTTGAGTATATATGGCTAATGCTACAACAATTTAGACATTCTCTAGGCACAGTGGTATCTTACAGTGCGAAGTCTTGTCCTTTATTTATGCTTTATTGGTACTATACAAAGAATTTGAAAAAAATGTATGTTGTTTACAAATACCAATAGTATGATGCTATCAAAATATTTTTAAATAACAATTAATGTACTTGTGATTTCTAACCATAATCTGTTTTAATCCTACGTCTATATGATTAACATATGTCACTCCTTATGTGTAACATGTCGCTCTAATCAAAACATGACTTGCAGACCATTAATTCACAGCATGGAATACTATGTGTACCATAAAAGGTAACCGTAACGTTAATCTGCAGATAAAAGGAAGGATCGACGGTAGAAAAAACTAAAATCGACACTGCCAAAACCCTTTGACACCTACTTAGAGTATTGAAATTTCGATTCAATGACCTGAATTAATCTCATATTTTCATATATACTTGTAAAAATAGTATGCATGTACATATTATCCATGATTAAGTCTGTGTAAATCTGTTTGAATAGGGCGAATTCGATTTTAGAATTATGACTAAAGCCTTAACATTATAAATAATAATTCACCGAAATGACCAAGGTATATGAATTTGTCCAAATACTTATTTGAAGTAAATGTGAAATTATAGGGACATACTAAGCAGAGGAAAATGAAGTTAAAAGAGGTGAAGGATTATTCAATGGTATTGCAGGTAATATTCTTATACTAGTATTTATATACATTAATCTTGTAAATTGCCAAATAATTGTAAAAATTGCACACATTTCAAATGAACTCACGAATAGTTTTCTGATCATTTGCTCCCCCTCCAAACAGAACTGAACTATACTTTTAATTGATCTCGAATAACAGTCAGTGCTGTTGTAACGAATCAAGTCTGAAAATTATCTCAAGTGGGAAGGATTGGATTTAGGGTACAGATACAAGACGACTTAATGGAGGAATTCAAAAATATGTAGACAAAAAAACCCACTTCAATGTTCTCAATAATGAGAAAAAAATGATGCACCTGACTGCAAGTTAAATATGATCCCTTTAAATCCCACCACCTGCAAAGAAGCAAACACAGCAGAACACAATAAAAAATAGAATACACACTAAGCAATCGCTGCTCATAACATTTAGGACACCCTCTCATTCTAATCGGCGGACATAGTGGAGATTTTTTTAAATACACTTACTTTTAACATTTTTTAATTTCATAAGAGTAATGTACCACTTTTATGGTCGCCTAGGCAAATGTGCCAGTGTGGGCTACTTCCATCACTTTGTGTTTGGAGTCTGTTCGCTGTCCGTCCGTCTGTTAACTGTAACCAAAGGGTTTATTTAGATATTTTAAACCAAGCTATTTCGAAATCATTTTAACGGTGTTTTATTTCAAAAATGATATATGTTCCTGCTGTTTCCGCAAATCAACAAACATAACCACTGTTACTAAAAAATAGAGCAAAAGACAAAAAGGAGGGCCAAACAGACACCTTATTTAATTTACAGTTGCCTACTTTTACCATAATTGTATAGATGACTTTCGATGTAGATATTAATCTTATTGTTGGTCTATAATTGTATGAAAGTTAAGGAACATATTTTGTAAATAGATATAAGAAGATGTGGTATGAGTGCCAATGAGACAACTCTCCATCCAAGTCACAGTTTGTAAAAGTAAACCATTATAGGTCAAAGTAAGACTTTAATTCGGGGTTTTGATACTTTTGATCTGTTTATGGTCATTATATAGGTTACACAATTTCATTTAGATAACAGTTCCCCCTCCGTGTTTAATCTGTTTATTTTGCAGATTTGAGATTTGGTATATAATTTTATAACGAATAGTTGCAGATCACATGACTTTTGTGCTAATTGACTTGCCTTTGAGCTGTGGTCATTGGTCTGATTAAAAATATTATTGAGATTATAGTTTACCTCTTCCGTGTTTTCATGCTAGCTCCTTTGCAGATATTGAGATTTTATTTCTTTTAAAACTGAAACGATAATTCACATATGAGGTTTGTTTTGGTTGACATAATTATGTCCCTTGGGCTTAGAACTTGACATAAAAAACTGTTTTTTTTTCATGATTTAAGCCTTCTTTATAGATATTGATCAGAATCTGTGTATAAAATTGTATAATAATTAAGTGCAGGTTTTGTATTAGTTTAATTCGTCCTACTTTTCATGTCTGTACTATGACCAATGAAACTATAAAGTTTCTTTTAAAACATAGTTTTCCTATCTATTTTCAGCATGCTATCTGGTTTAAAACTTTACAATTAGTGTCTCTGGATCACAAATAATTTTTGTGCTGATTAACTAGCTTTTGACCTATGGGCGTATGACATAGAAAATGTCATTAGCATTAATTATTCCTCTCCGTTTTCTGTCTCCTTGTACAGGTATTGAGCTACTTTTGCACAGGACCTGCAGACTCAACTCAATGCCTTCCATGATTATTGTAAGGCTTGGAAATTGAAAGTAAACGTTGACAAAACTAAAGCCTTAGAGTTTGGTTTTGGACGTTTGCCAAAAAATCTCCGATTTTCTTACAATGACACTAACATTGAGATAGTAAAGCAGTTTAACTATTTGGGAATTGTTTTTACTAAAACAGGAAATTTTATTAATATGACAAAAAAAGCCATGTACGAAGTCCTGAAAATGGGAAGGATATATGCATACATAAAGATTCTGTTTGTCAAAAAAAAATTTCAAAATTGTGGTTTCTCATATAACACAAAATTTCATTGATAAAGATTGGTTAAAAACTGTTAGACCAGTTTCTTTAGAATTGGAATTCGCTAATCCAAAATTCGTCAAAAGGTATTAACTACAAATTTTTTAAGAACAACTGGGAATTTGAGGAATATTTTAATATTTTGGACTTTAAAGATGCCGTTGTTCTCTGTCGATTTCGAACGACTAATAACAAATTTCCGATTGAAACAGGAAGGTGGCAAAATGTATTAAGAGAAAACCGTTTTTGCCATGAATGTAACAATCGACAAATTGGAGACGAATATCATGACTATATATTTGAATGTAATTTTTTCGATCAAAAACTTAAAGAGTATTTATCCTATTTTGTACAACGGCATAATACAGTTAAATTCTCTGAACTTATGTCGAGTACACGAAAACCAGTCCTGAAGAAGCTTTGTTCATTTATAAAAAATATTAATACTTGTGTTTGTCCTCCTGGCTAGTGACTTTTGTAACCTATCTCCCTTTTTTTGTAAATATTGTAAATAGTTATTGTTGCTATCTCTGTACTGATGTCATGCATTGGCTTTATGAGAATAAAGATATAGATCAATAGGTAAATACAATGATTAATTACAAATCACATACGAGTTTCGTTCTGAATGAATG